TTACAACTTGTAAGCCTTCACCCTTAACCCCTGGACTTGCCTGCCTCTTGTATGTGATTCCACCTGCCAACCAACAGACTAGAGCAGCTAAAAACCCAGGCTAGCAGGCTAGGTATCAGGGCAGGCCCAGGCCCCTGCATATTCCGTTCAATATGCAGTTAAGTCAGTTCAACTTACATTTAACAAGTTTCCCCATATGAGGTCCTTGATGGGGAGGGAGAGTGTGCAGAGCTAGGTAAAGGGTGATTTCATCTTCCAGGAGCTTGCAAACTAGTTGAGGGAGGATGGCCAGTCAAGGAGCACCCAGCCGTCCAGGGCAGGATGACAAAAAGGGCTGTAAAGAGAGGGCCAAGGAAGCACTCTGCGTGCAAGGGGAGGAGCACCAGGTGTTCTGTCCCATCAGGATGTCAGAGGGAGCTTTGGAAAGAAGCTGGACCTGAGCTGAGCATTGAAGGGCAACTAAGAATTCAACAGTGGCAGCCCGGGACAGGGCTTCAGGGGCAGGCTGGAGGGTGCGTCCGTCTGAGGGAGTCACATGTATTAATGCAGAGAGCCAGCAACTCAGGCATTTTCTGAAAAGTAGTGAGCAATCCAACGGGACTGGGGCACAGGCCATTTTCTTGTGGGAGGAATGGGTGACAGTACAGGCTGGCTGTGGAAGGCCTTGAATGACAGGCAACAGAGCTTGGGTTTTTATCTATAGACATAAGGGATGGCACCATAGTTTCTGAAAAAGGGAGTAAATAGTGTTAGAGTGAGACTTCATTGAAGAAGCAAACAGGAGTTTCAGGTGGGCCAGTGCAGCTACAGCTAACGGACAGTAGCCAAGACACACACACACACTCACATGTGCACACATATCCACATGCACATACAAAATACATGTACACATACATGCACCCACCCAGTGTTTCTCTCTAGCACCTGCCTTTGGCAATTCCTAGAGCTGTTCCAAAAGCCTCATCCCATTCTTACCTCGGCGAGCTGCAGGACAAGCTGGAGAAAGCCTCCCTGAACCTGGAAGCCCATGCCCAGAGGAGGAAGGGGAGGGAGGAACAGATTTGTGAAGTGTTTGCTGCACGTCTGGCACTCTCCTGGGCACTTAATGTCTCCAGTAACCTTGTGAAGTGACAAGTTATTCCCACTTTGCAGATGAGAACACAGGCCCAAAAGACCTAAAACTTGGTCAAGATCAGGTAGCTCATAAGTGGCTTCCAACTTGGTCTGTTTGTATTCCACACTGCCATTCCACATCAGAGTTTTGCAGATGAATTAGACAAGGTTTCTACTTCTGTCATCTTTGAACAAAGTTCATTGGAATGGAAAGGATGATTTATTTCAAGTGAGTTCCCCTTTGGTGATTCACAATAACAGCAGCCACCACAGGGGAATTAGACCCAAGATGATAGATGGTGTTGGGGGAAATGAGCCAGGGCTCAGCTGGTATAATACTGGTTAATCTCACTTACCAGCAGTCGCCAAATTTTTAAGAGCAAATATTTTAGCTCTTTATGATGAGGTGGAGGACATACACAAATCTTATGGGTAAAAAAAAGGAAAATTCCCAGTCAGCTCATCATTGAGTTCTCTTTCCCTTTCCCTTACCAAGGGAAGCCAAGTTTTTACATTAGAAACCCTCTTTCTCTAAATCAAGGAAAATAATATGTCATTTGAGCAGTGAAAATTTACGGACACTTTGTGTGTGCCAGCAAAGCTGTTGGTGATACAGAATAGATGGCCCCAAGTCCCACAGGAAGTGAGCCTGGAGTTTTGGGGTGGGCCTGGGGGCGAGAGGAGGTGACCTGGCACAGTTCACTCAGAAACCAGGAGTGGAGCCGCATGCTCAGGACCATGACCATGAGACATGAAAACAATGTGGTGCAGCTCAGGGGAGGCAGAGCTTCCAGCCAGCTGGCAAGGAAGGCCTCAGGGAAGTGGTGGCCTATGAGGCCGACTTGGAAAGGTGGACCAGCTTTCAACAGGAATAGGCCATGAGGGGTGTGTGAAGGGACATGCTGAGCACAGGAAATGGCACCAAAGACAGGGAAGTCTGGCAAGTGGATAAGTGGATGGAACTTGTGAGCAGAGTGCAATGGGAAAAGCAGCAGAAGATAAAGTGGATTAGCAGCTGACACTTGAGAGCCTTAATACTAACTGAGGAGTTCAGATTTGGGCAAGTGGGCCATGGCGAGCCACTGGATATTCTGCATAACTAACACAAGGCTTAGCCAAGTTCCTCTAGATCGGGGGCAAGCAAACTTTTTCTGTGAGGGCCAGATAGTAAATATTTTAGGTTTTGCAGGCTACAGGGTCTCTTTCAATTACTCAGCTCTGCCATGGTAACAAAAAAAAAAGTTATATGGGTGTTCCCATATAACTTTAATTACAAAATAAACTGTGGGCTGGATTTGACCTACGTAAGGGCTATGATTTGACAATCCCTACTCTAGATATAAGGTGGAGGTCAGGTGGGTAGCAGGGGTTCCTCAGGACACCACTCTACAAAGCCAGGAGATAGATATGTGTGAGCTTGAGCCAAGGTAGACATGGGAGAATGGAGAGAGGGAACGGAGTCAAGAGATAGGCTCTTCATCATGACCAGTGCACAGTGGGCATTGAATGAGTGGTGCTGAGTTGCAGAAACAGATAGATAGGCTCTTCAGGACTTAGTTGCCGGTTAGTTGTGGAAGTGATGGAGCAAGCGGAAGGGGTCAGATTTGGAAGCCATGAGGAGCACATAGCCCCTAGTGGTTTGGCACTTACTAAATCTGAGGTTCTGGCAGGACATTTACGCTGCATCGATGATGCTTATTTGTTAAGTGAAAGTTTACTGAGCATCATTGAATGCCAGGTTTGGGAGATAAAAAGGAACACAAGACAGGCAAGGTTCAAATTCTCAGGCAGTTTACTCTCTAATGGGGTAGAAGACAATAAGCAAGAAAACAAATATTAGCAACTAGCATGTATTGACCACCTGCCATCTGCCAGGTACTATTCTAAGTGCCTTATATGGGAAATTAATTTAATACACACAAAAACCCTATGAGATAGGTGTTAATATCATTGCCATTTTGGGGTTAACATCCAAAATATATAAAGAACTCAGATGCCTCAACACCAAAAAAAACTGCCAAATAACCCATTTAAAAAAATGGGTAGAGGACCTGAACAGACATTTTTCCAAAGAAGGAATACAGGCACATGAAAAGATGCTTCACATTGCTAATCATCAGGGAAATGCAAATTAAAATCACAATGAGATTTCACCGCACACCAGTTAGAGTGACCCCTATCCAAAAGACAAGAAATAACAAGTATTGGCAAGGATGTGGAGAAAAAGGAACCCACCTGCACTGTTGGTGGGAATATAAATTGGTGCAGCCACTGTGGAAAGCAGTATGGAGGTTGCTCAAAAAACTAAAAATAGAAATATCATGTGATCCAGTAATTCCACTCCTAGGAATTTACCCTGATTCAAAAAGACATGTTTATGGACACTTAGGTTGCTTCCATATCTTGGCACTATTTACAATAGCCAAGATATGGAAGCAACCTAAATGTCCATCATTAGATGAAGGGACAAAGAAGAGATGGTACATATACACAATGGAATATTATTCAGCCATAAAAAGAAAACAAATCCTACCACTTGCAATAACATGGATGATCCTAGAGGGTATTATGCTCAGTGAAATATATTAGTCAGATAGAGAAAGACAAATACCATATGATTTCACTTATTAGTGGAATCTAAAAACAAAACAAAACAAAACAAAATGTAGCAAACAGCAGTAGATTCAGAGACACAGAGAAGTGACTGGTGGTTGCCATGGGGGAGGGGTTGGGGTGGGTGAGTGAAATAGGTGAAGGGGAGAAAGGGGCACAAAATTTCAATCATGATATCAGTTGGCCATGGGGGTGAAGTTCAGTATAGAGAATATAGTCAGTAATTCTGTAACATCTTTCTATGTTGACAGACAGTAACTATACTAGTTGGGTTGAGGATTTAATAATATGAGTAACTGTTGAATCACTGTGTTGTATACTGTATATTTGAAACCAATGTAAGATTGTGTATCAATGATACTTCAATAAAAAGATATTATTGCCATTTTGCAGATGAAAAGATTAAGGAATAGAGAGAGTAAACAATGTATCTAGGGACACACAGCTAGTAGTGGTAATTTAGGTCTATAACCCATTCACTGAACTTTACTGTACTGTCTCTTATTAAAGAATATAGCTGTTACTAAAGAAAATAATATTGAATATTGATGAGGGAAATAAATAGGACCCTGGGACAGAGAATGACAGGGGCAATCACATGTAGATACGGTGACCAGAAAAGGCCTCTGTGAAGAGAAAGAGAACAACCTTGTGAAGAGTCATGGAAAAGTGTTCCAGGCAGAGGGAACAGAATGTGCAGATGCCCTGAGACAGAAAAAACCTTGTAAAGACAAAGGGCTGCTGTAGTGAAGGAAGGGAATGTGGCACATTATTATCATCCACCCTGTGTTTGCCACTCTGAGAAGAGGCATCATTATCTTCCACTTCACAGGAAGAAACTGAGGTTCAGAAACATCAGATCAGTTTCTCACAGTCTCCTAGCAGGTGGGTGGTGGGATTCTGTTTGATAAACAGCTGAAGATGCAGACTCAAGAGATAGGATGACTCTGGAGACCCTGAAGAGCTGTGTAAGCCCCCAGTAGATGTCATCAGACTTCCAAGTAATGCAAGCGAGGATGGCCGTTACAGTGGTGCCAGAGCCCCGAGGAGAGGGGAGCAGTGGGTGCAGAGAGAGGAGCGCTGAGAGGTCTCACATGCGGTCTGTCAAGACTCCTCTGCCTGAGTGGTCAGGGGGCCCATCTGGCACAGGCTTTCCTCTCCCCAGCTGTACCAAGGAGCAGAGAGAAGGTCGGGGAAGTCCTCCCTGCTTTGTGCTTGAGCAGGAGGGTCAGCTGCTCTTCGGCTGACCCCTGATGCCTCCCTGTGCCTGGCAGGACATCATCCTCACAGTGAAGGAGAAGCTGTCGATCCGGAGTATGGAGTACTTTGCGCTGGCGCTGGAAGAGCAGTACAACATCTCACGGCTGCACCTGCTGCACGAGGAGGAGCTCATCCAGCAGGTACAGCCTGCTGCTGTGGGGAGGAGCCCCGGGCTGGGCAAGCTCCATGCCTCAGCCAAAACCTCTGCAGGAGGCCTCAGCACGCCTGCATGTTTGATGCACGTTTTTGTGCCCAGAAGGCACAGAGCTCACTCAGCCTAGGGATAATAGGGTGAGAACCAGGACTGATTTTCCTGAGATAGACAGGGCCCCATTTTGCAGATGTGGAGACAGAGGCTTAGAGAGATAAGGAGACTTACTCAAGGTAACAGCCCGTAGGGCCCATCTTTTGCCTCCGGCTCTGATGATGTTCCCTTGAACCTGCTGTCTTTACCATGTTGGGGATGCATTTGTTGCTGTGTCTAAGCCCTTTCTGTGAGACCTTCCCCCTGAGATGGTCCCTCCTGGTAGAACAAACACAGTCTGGCTGTACCACTTGGTCTTTCAACCATGCAGTGATTTGTTGTACCGACTTTTTAAAGCCAAACACGGGTCAGTTCAACAAACCCTTGTTGAGTGTGTACTACTACAAAGATGAGTAAGATTTCAACAACTGGAAGAGGAGAAAGTGCTGTTTAAGCAGGGGAACAGCATGAGCAAGGCATGACCTTATGGGAGCCACTCTGAGCATACCTCATTGCAGATGAATTCTTACCCTAGTCACTCACCTTCTAATACTGCTGCTTGCAAACTTTTCTTTTATTATTTCTCTTCCCATTAGCATTGGAAAAGAAAATCAAATCCCTAAGATAAATGAAATGAGGAAAGTAGCATGCAGAATATATATATAAAATGTATAGCATACCATTATTTGTGGAAAGGAAAAGCATATACATATAGAAGCATTCACATACATAGACTGCCTCTGGAAGGGCATATAAGAAACTGGAAACAAACATTTGTTCTGGAAAGTAGAACAAGTTGATGGGGTCAATGGGAAACTTGGCTCTCTTGAAACTTTTGCTTTTTATACCCATGGGGAAGTCAGGTAAGGAGCAAAGGTCAGTGGCTATCTTGGAAGGCACTAAAATTGAAATCTCTGGGGAATATGTTTCATTATTTTTTTAAACATTGTTTTGTAGAACAACTGCAAGAACAGAGACAATTTGAAGATTAATGGTATCTCGCTTACCCATTGTAGGTGGTGGAAAGGGAGGAGTCACATGACTACCGCTGCCTCTTCAGAGTGTGTTTTGTTCCCAAGGACCCCCTGGACCTCCTGAAAGAAGACCCGGTGGCCTTTGAATACCTTTACCTGCAGGTGACTGGGTCTGCTCTTCCTAAAGTAACAAGGGTTGTTCTCAAAGATAGTACATTGGGTTATTTTGAATATGGGCTCAAGGCAATTAAGCAAGTCCCTGATAGGGGATAACTTTATCTGAATTGGGCCTCACTATCCCTCAGAATTCCTTTTTCCCCTCACTAAGTTGCTCTGTTAGATTTGCACTGTGTTAACAAAATTTAGGCTTAGTCCTCAATGTAGGTGATATATTTTCTAACACCATTTAGGATCTTTAGAGTTACAATTTTCTATTGCTAAAAGGGGCTTTAGTGCTTCAAAGCCTTATCTTAGAAATGATGAAACTGAGTGAAACTGAGTCTTGGAAAGGTCACCTGGTTTGGCTGGGTCACCTGTTTGGTCCAGAGCCAAATATACGTCCCTTGACCCCAGCCTGGTGCTCCTTCTACTCTACCTCCCTAGCGTTTTTTTTCTCATTTCTCCATGTTTATTTTTTTGTTGTTGTTATCATTAATCTACAATTACATGTAGAACATTATGTTTACTAGGCTCCCCCCTTCACCAAGTCCCCCCCACAATCCCCATTACAGTCACTGTCCATCAGTAAGATCCCTAGCATTTTTATTCTGCTGATAAAGAATCATTTGGGAAGTACCACCACTTTACAGACAGGGTAACTCAAACTAGGTGGATTGCCTTGCCCAAAGTCTTACAGAAATGGTCGCAGCAAATGATAACATCACCTTATATTTGTCTAATACTGTGTCCTTTATACCTGTGTTCATAGGCATTGTCTGATTTAAACCTCACAGAAACTGTAAGGTAGACTCCACTATATTCATTTAGCAATGGGAAGACACCAGTGTTCAGAGAGCCTTAGTAATTTAAACCAGGTCTTACAGCCAAGAATGGGCACAGTCGGGTCTCATGCTGATCTCCTGGTCCTTCTGCCTTTCACCTGAAAGAACTAGGAACACGATCCGTCTGTTACTGTTTCCCAATTCCTCTGATTTAATCTCTTCTAGAGCTGCAGTGACGTGCTCCAGGAGCGCTTTGCTGTAGAAATGAAATGTAGCTCTGCGCTCCGACTTGCAGCCCTGCACATCCAGGAGCGGATCTATGCATGTGCCCAGCCACAGAAGATCTCTTTGAAGTACATAGAGTGAGTGGCACGGGATTCCTGTATCCTATCAACAACAGCTGTGTTGCATTTATAACGTGGCTGGTCCCTGGCCAGCATGGCCAGATTCTGCAGAAAATTACATTCACCCACCTACCCATCATGTGTCCACCCACTGTCTTTCCAGCCATTTCTCTCTCCACACTCCCTGACCCAGCCTGGCTACCCCAGATATCAGATCTGGCTGCTCTCTCTGGGGCAGAAGCCAACTCCAAGTGAAATGACATAGGATCGCTTTGTAAATTCCCAGTTCCTGGGTGAATGTCTTGGGAAATGGGTTGACAACTTCAGTGTAAAGTTCTTCTCAGGGCACAAATGCCTTGGGAATTAATTTTATGTGAGCCAATCATGTTGCATTATATTCCTACTAGGGTAGCTTCAAGTCCTGGGACACCAACACCTCCTGATTCTTAGCTTAAAAATTCTCACTTTGCTCTGGGCAGTGTCACCCAGACTAGCTGTGTCCTGCCTGTGTATCAGAATTAAAATGGGAATCCTATTTGAAAATAAAACAGATCCTTGGCTCTATGCCTGATAGACTAGGCCAAATCTCAAGGGAGTAAACCTGAGAATCTGTATTTTTAATGAGGTTTTTGAGGGATTTTGAGGCTGTCAGGCTGGTACCATTCTAAAGCATGACACAGGGATTCATAGGGGCTCTATGTTGCCCCATGAGAGTGTGTTATATATTTGTTGTCATTATTTGTCACTTATATGCAGTAAAAAATTTGAGATCTCCTGACCTGATTAACAGAATATCACACCACACCAAAAGTAATGAGCTCCCAGAAAGGTCAGTGGGGTTTAATTCCTGAATGGCTGAGGTTTCTATGGAATGTGTGTGTGTGTGTGTGTGTGTGTGTGTGTGTGTGTGTGTAAATATCTAAATATACTTTATATATATATATATATTCATGCACATATATATGTGCATGTCTTTTGTTGAGAAAGAGGCTTATAATTGCAGTATTCTGGGAACACTAAGTACTGAATTAAATGTAATTATACTCTTCATTACAGCCAAGTACACTGTAAAAATGGGTCTCCTTGTCTCCAATGTCTCATGGCAGGAAAGACTGGGGAATAGAGAACTTTATATCTCCAACTTTACTGCGAAACATGAAGGGCAAAGACATCAAGAAAGCCATTAGCTTCCACATGAAGAGAAACCAGAATTTGCTAGAACCCCGACAAAAGGTAAAGTAGCAGTGGCCTCTGCTGACTCCCCCAGCGATCTGTTGTGAAGCCTTAAGGAAAGCGTTTTCAACATTGTCTGGATTTTAGGCAAGTGAATAACTCTGACCTAACAGCCTTTTTTTTTTTTCGGTCTCCATTTAAGCAACTTATTTCTGCTGCCCAGCTACGTTTAAATTATCTCCAGATCCTCGGGGAACTCAAGACATATGGTGGGAAAATCTTTAATGCTACTTTAATGGTATGTATTAGAGAACTGTGGAGCCCTACTTTTTTTTTTTATTTTTAGAGGGCATCTCTCATATTTATTGATCAAATGGTTGTTAACAACAATAAAATTCTGTATAGGGGACTCAATGCACAATCATTAATCAACCCCAAGCCTAGTTCTCAACAGTCTCCAATTTTCTGAAACATAACGAACAAGTTCTTACATGGTGAACAGTGCAAGGACAGTCATCACAGAAACTTTCGGTTTTGATCACGCATTATGAACTATAAACAATCAGGTCAAATATGAATATTCGTTTGATTTTTATACTTGATTTATATGTGAATCCCACATTTCTCCCTTATTATTATTGTTATTATTATTATTTTTAATAAAATG